TGAGCAATGTAGTTGAGGATAGCGATATGTAATGTAATAACCACCGTTGATTCGTATTATTTGTCTTGATATCCTGTATCACTGATTTTCTTGCTTTGACTTGTTTATGTTTGTGTTACTGATATGCTGCTACTGTTCTATTTTTTAGCCTGTTTATTTCTCATTTCCTCCTCTCTTTAAAATAAAAAAGAAGAGTAGCATGTAAGTTTATGAAAATCTTCTCATTCAGAAAAAGAACAGCACCAGCAACTCACCATAAATATGTTCTTCACTCAGAAGAAGAGATCAATTATGGCCTGGGTAAAGATACTGCACCATTTGATGAAGCGCCTGATGAAATGGTGCCTTCAGAAGAGATGTAATACCCTTCTTGGCTGTGCAGTACATTCGTCTTATAGTCATCACCTTCTACTGCATGGCTACAAAATGTTTTTCTATGGTCTGTCAAGACAGAGTACAGAACTTCCAACCACTGACTAGGTCAGCGGCACTTAGGTGGTGGAATTGAGGGTCCACATTACAAATATCTTCAAGGAGCACACTAGATGACGTGATATGTGGCAAAGGAGCCAGGAAAGGTGGTCCTCTTTCACATGGTAGTAATATAAGATTTCCTTTAAGCCCACTTTGATTTCAAATTTAACAATCATGTGATTCAAATATCTAATTGCAATTCTCAAAAGCAGGTAAGAGGAAGATAAGAATTCATCTCAATAGTTTTCTGGATTTGTATCAAATATATATATGTGAATGTTGTGAAATTATACAGTGTTTCAGAACAACTGTCTATGAAGTCATTGAGAACAATAGATCCCTAATACACTAAATATTGGAAAAACTACATATATAATATGATCATGAGAACTATTAAATAAAATTGCAATCATAAATATTATAAGTGAAATAATTATATTAAAATATGTCCTATAAAGATGGATAATTTCAGTTCTACTGTGATATAATCCACTCCTCATATTAATTGCAACACTTCTTTTAAAATTTTCTTTTTTCATGATATGAAAATAAAGTCTTATGTAATTTTAGACACATTACACATTATATTTTTCTTGAAGGAATTCAACTTTCAGTGTCAAAATTAATATGTGTTTACACACATGAAGACATTTTCTTTATGCAATTACTAGCTGCAAATACATTCTTCCATAATAGTGCACTTCCTTATTTCACTTGAAAGATGGTAAGAGCCTTTTTAAAGTCCTGAAAGAATATTTACAAAGGGAAGGAGCCCAAAAATCTCAAGAAATCTTATTTCAAAACATGAGCACAATCTCACAGGATTCTTTTCACCAACATTTGGACAAGAAAAGTTTATTTCTACTCTTTTTTAATGCTCGTATAATTTTACTGATATGGATTTTATATCCCATTTAGATCTAATAGGGTATTTAATACATAGCCTTCTAATACAACTGCTTACACTTACAGAAAAATGATATGTACCAGGAATTTAATCCGAAAAAGAAAAATGCAAACATATTTTTCATGCTTGATACCACTCAATAACTAATAAAATGAGATAAAAAATAGTTTGGTGAGAGTTTTAATAAAAATAGAACCCATTACAACTAATGAAAAAATCAAATATTTAACAATCAAGTACCTACCAAATTAGGTAGTATTTTGTCCAAATAAATTCTTTCCATTGCACTGAATATTAGGCTTATATGTTAAGGCATATTTAATTAATATGTTTCAGAAATTCATAGTTATACTGGTCAATGTTCCTATTTTCCTATTCCTGTTTTTTCATACTCCTTTCTTTCCATGGCTTAAAATGTTAAATCATAGTATTGCTGGTTCTTGGAGAGAGCTTTGAGCTGGCTTACAGCAGTGTGTTCACCAGGTTTTATGGTATAAACATTGAAATGGTACATAAAATGGATCATGTTGTTCTCTACACTGATCTAAAATGGTTTAATGTCTTGCCAAAAGGTGAAATGACATAATTACATTTTACATTTTGTGTATTTAGACCACCAAGTGCATAAATATTCTAATGTAAAATTCTTGGTCTTCATTATATCATGATACTTGATACTCTAAAATGTGACAGAAACTTGTAACATAGAGTAACCACAGAATATCAGATGCTTCTTGCCATTTGTGATCTTGTAATAAACATGTGCCAGATCAGGATCACAAGGATAGTACTAAAACCATAATGTACATTCTGCAACTTGTTCATGTTTTCTAGCCACAGGGAGGCCAGACATTTCTTCATTCGAAACATATTTCTTAGTTTCCGTGCAGTAGTTTTCTATATACTTTGTTCAATGTAATTGTCATACATCAGAACTGAAGGTCTTTTCCTCTTCAGGGATTAGTTGATTCATTAACATATTAACATTATCAGTACTTCCAACCCAAGAATTTCTTTTGAAATATTCAAGAAACATCACTGCTTTGTGAAGACCAGTTATTGTTTTTATTGTCTTTAGGCTTCTTCTAGTCATCCTGAGGTAAACATCATACAGGAATTCTGGGGCCTTATGGCTTACAATAATCCAGTAATGATCTGAAAGGTGATTGGTTAGATTTACATTGGGCCATCTGAAGGCCTGGTTGAGAGGATTCCTCTTGAGAGAGAATTACGTGGAATTTAACCTCACCCCAGTGGAAAGGATTAGTGCTGCCTGTTGCAAAATAGAACAGTAAGATGTTTCTTGGCCTATTAACTCCAGAATACCAGGCTGCCAGAAGACTTGTGCTGACAACTAAACCTACAGGAACAAGATCTGCAAGGGTGTTGTTGGAGGCACACATTGTTTAAAGAATTCCTTTCTCTGCTGTAATAAAAAGACCACTTGGTCCATTACTGTTATTGCAGTAGTAACAGAAACACAGAAACATCACCTGGGATTTGGAAGCAGATTAATTTATGATGATGAGCACTGAGAAGAAATCAATGCTTATAAAAATGTCAGGCCCTGATCCTTGGTAGTTTGTGGCTTATATGATAAGCAAGCAGGAAGTACATAAGCAGAGTATTTGGCGTTGATTGGTTGTTACAATATGTGTCATACTGACCAACTATGCATCACAGTGACCAGCTGTTCCTAAGATATGGAAGTAACAGGAACTGTAATAGGAACAGTTACCTGGACAACTAACAGAAACTGAAGCATATGTATGTACTAGGTCTGTCTTCTATTCATTGCAGTATGATATCACTTACCAGCCCATCATCCATCCATTCTAAAGAATCAATCAGCTTCTTGGTATCTACACAAGGTGAATAGACTACTTCATTAATATGCTTTTGAATGCAGTAGACATACGCTGTTGAGACATGCACAAACACTTCCAGATTCTTCACTCATTTTGCACTTGAAGAAAATCTTCTGTACAACCATGCACCATTTAGATGACTGCTTCTATTGTGCTATTTGCCACTTGTTATGGCATCCATTCCCCTCCTTAATGAAGAATTGAAATGGCATGGTAGCCCACACTTGTAATCCCAGCACTCAGGAGGCTGAGACAGGAAGATTGCCCTGAGTTTGAGGTCAGCTTGGGTTATATAGTGAGTTCAAGGGCAACCTGAATTACATAGCAAGACCCTGTCTCCAAAAAGCTAAAAATGAAAAAATGATCTTAATATGGACTCTCAATTCCACCATCAATACTCTGTTGAATTTATTAGAAGTGAGGAATTCTGTACGCTGTCCTGTCATGCCACTTAAATAAATTAGGTGGGTTTTCTCTGAATGCCTCACAAACAGCACAGAATTTGATTTATTGAATATCCTGTTTTAAAATAATTCTTCATATTCAGAAGTGGGAATTACAGTTATTTTGGTAAACACTCCTTGGTAATTAAATCAATGTTCATCTTAATTTATCTCAAATTTAGAGCAGGAGGTTTTCACACTGGCTAGACTTTGCGACCATCTACATCAGCACAACACACATGAAATGTTTAGAAACAAAACTCTGAGGTTCGGGGCTGCGGATTTACCTCAGTGGCAAAGTGCCTGCCTGGCAAGCTCAAGGTCATGAGTTTGATTCCTGGTAACAGAAGAAAAAAAAAAAAAAGAAAGAAAAGAAAAGAAAAGAAAAAAACTCTGAGATCCATGTCACACAGATACTTTATTGCACAAAGAAGGTATTTTGTAAGAAGCTCTGAATTTGGCGTGGATATATTCTCTGTGGATTCTAACATTCTGTGATGACAAATGAATATTTGTAACAATTTTAACTTTATGTTTTGAAATGAAAATATCACCAAAACTTGACATGAAATCATCATACTATTAAAAGGGTACAATTCTTACAGTCACTGATTATCTGTTATCTAAACAAAAATACAGTTAAGATTGAAATAATGTTATATTCTGGCTATCATTATCCAACTCCACAGTGTATTTATATTTATAGATGTTTATCACACTGTGAATTTAGCCAGGAAACAGACAACAAAACTTGTTACTGTTGACTTAGTATATAATGATATATTAAATTATGTCTAGAAAATGGAGACCACATTGACTTCACTCTATAAATTTGTGGATATTTTCCTCCAACCACATACTAATCAACCTATTGTAATTATCTCAGACAAGCTACTTATGTTTGGTGGGCCCTTAAACATATGACAAAAATAATATTTACTAAGTTATTAAAGACATCAAATTATTTATTCACCTTTCATGTTATCATTCTCCATTTCCTTTTTCATGAGGTTCTTAAGGTGTAAGTGAAATAAAATAAACTGTATATATGACCAAGAGAAGCTTCAAACAGCAACATACACACACATGATAAACTAATCCCAAAAACAGTGATATATTTCCTACTCTTTAGATTTTTGAAACCAGATGAAAATTCTAATTCCTACAAATGTGGCTAGAATTCAAAGCCTGCATTTCCTGAGAGATATATACTGTTAAATCTTGTAGTATATTTTTATTAGTAATATATGTCAAAATAAATATGTTTAACAGAAAAAGCATCATTACATACATTTCAATGATTCTACATTAATTCAAATCCATTGTTGCTTTCCAGAAAAATTTTCCATCGCTGAATTTACAAACATTTACTATCTTTCCCCCACATGGATCTAAAAACCTGATCACTCTTCTTTCAGTACTGATGAGCACCAAAGGACTGACTGCGGCATAGCAATTGCCAACTAGCAGTTGGACACAATGACGAATTTGGTCAAAATTCCACAACATTTCAGAAGTAGAGGCAATAACACTGTCCAAAATGTACATGACAATAAAGAAACTCATGAGCAACAAAATAGTCCGGGTGGCCCTTTGTTCTGCAGATGCTTTTGGGGACAGGCTGGTGCTGTGAAGATGCTGGGACTGCCTTTCATGTCTGCACAAGAGAAGCACCTTGTACCCACTTGAAAGTGCCATGAGCCCTATAAAGCACATTTGCTGGAAACCCCACAGTGAGATAGATATGTACTTGAGAGAGGAATTCCTGGGCAAAAGAGAGCAGGATCGAGTGACAAACATGAGACTGTGTGAGGTCACATTGGGAGTGGCAACAGTGGAGATTAAGAAACGACCGGTAGTGAGCATATTGAGGACCCATAAAAAGAAAAAGCAACACAGATTCTGATGCAGGGATTTCTGTTTGAATTTTGCCAAACAGGAGCTTCTGGGGCTGAGGGTGATGGCCTGAAGGACACTCAGCAGGCAGGTGGTACAGATGGAGAGGCCCCTCATCACCCTGTACAAATATATAACAGATTTACATGTGATGTCATCCCCCAAGTCCTGAAACCCAAACATGTCCATAGCTATGAAGCCCACAGTTAGAAGCATCACTGTGTGTATAAGAGCCAGATGACCAATGGTCAGATCGGTAGGCCTGGGCCTGTGCTTTAGAAGGAATTTTAGAACATGAAAGAGAAGCAGGGCCACGTTGGCCATGACCCCAATGCTGACTTCAAAGAAAAACATGTATTGTAAGTCAGTGATACTTGAAAGTATGCTGTCTTTCTTCATCTTTATGGGGGAAGAAGCAGATAGTAGATATCTGAGGAAAAAAGCATGGATAATTCTGTATTATAAATTTTACCTCCCTCCTCGATCTCAACCTACCCAACACCTTCACCCAAACATATGCATTTATCATGGTGAGTCCTTTTCCTATTTCCTTACTGATGTCCACCTCATGCCCTCAGCTCCCCTACTTCCCACCACTTCTCAGTCATGGTTATATTCAAAGTCTCCCTCCTGGTCTCTAATACTACCTCTGTATAAAAACTGCCATATATGATAGGTGTTTTCATATCTTTGTCTCATTTGTAGTTTCCAAAGTCCACCCCACTGCTTCATTTATCTTCATATTATATATTCTCATGTTTTCAACCAATTAGTATTGTCTCATGTGATATGCCCAGAAATAAAATGAAATATTTTAATTTGATAACCTGACTGTGTCTCCTTCTATGGATCATATATCATATGAAACACAGAGTCATAAATGGTCTTGGCTTTTCATTTACTTATAAATGCCGAACACATTTCCTAATTCTATTCAATGTAAATTATGAAATATATCCTGATAAGCTTTCAGGAAATAACATTAATAGATGTCTAACAATACTTAAGAATAAATATTGATATCAAATAAAATACGAATGACCATTTTGTCTATACATGATCTCTCTGAAACTGCAAATCAATTTTAATTTTGCTCCAATACTTGAAGATAATCTATACTTAAAGTTCAGAAATTGAACAAAGAGAATATTCAAATCTTCCTAGAACTGAGGCTATAGACTACCTTATTTTCAGCATTATTCAGGAAGATGGGGCTCCTACACAGGCAAATGATGAAAGCCTATTACAAGTGTGTGCAGATGCATAACATTCATGGAGTTGAATTTACATTTGCATAATATTCATGGAATTGTGGATTTAGTAGGCCATTACTGGAAAAATTCTTTGCAGAATAAATTTTTCTTCCAGAGCGCTAATCTAGGAAAGTGACAATTTGGTGCAGTGACAGTCACACACTTGCATTAGCTCCCATGGGAAACACAGAGAGATGAGAGAAAATAGAAACAATTACTTAGCTTTCTAGAATTCCATAGATCACAGTCTGTATTAATGAAAATCATACTCCAAAGACTTTTGTACTGTATTTGTATATAAGTGATATAAAGAAAGTCATATAATGAATTCTGTATTAAAATATTTTCATATATATATATATATTCTGGAGAATAAGACAATTTCATAAAATCAAGGATGAAATCATCCTCTAGCATGTCTCCTTCCAGCTGTACTCCATTCAGCTCATTCTGCCTACCACAGCACAGTTCAGGAGATCAGGGAACAGGAGAGGAACTCTCTGCATCAGGAAGATGACCCAGGAGATATTCCTGTAATGCAGCTCTTACTGGTGATGATGCTGAGAAATCTTCTGGCTGGTCTGAAGTCCCAAGCAGGAAAATCTACCTTAACTCACTGGAAGAAACAACCTGCTTCCTGAGAAACTGGAAATTAATACATACATGAATACATACAAGGAAAGGAACACAGAATACAAGGCCAGAGGTGGCTGCCACTCAGAATGCCTCACTGGGAAAGAGGAAAGAGGGCAGGCACCCTGGGTAGCATAGGAAAAACTAAACCTAAATAGAAAAAGATATAGCAAAGAGAAATCTGTGCATTGTTTCTTACCACTGACTTTTGACAGCACTCCAAACTCACATTGGAGTCTGACACAGCTTCATAAGAAATGTAATATAGCCCATATTCCCATCAATACTGTGATCCAGAAATAGTTCACTTGAAACATGGTGTTATTTTTTCAATTTCAAATCCTGTTGTAGAAGTTATCATAAAATCAGCCACAGGTGCTATAAAAAGCTCAGATCCATGTACCCTAGCCAGGGGCAGAAATATCTGGTATCAATGAGAGGAGGAGAAGCCTCTGCAGAAGATTAACTTTGGGTCCCTCTGGATTTGTGTGTAAAGTAATTACAGGGCAAAAAGAAAAGGCGTGGAGGATTCCTCTCCTTTCTCTCCTGCACTATGAGCATAATCAGCATGCTGCTCATGATTTATGTCCAGCACTTAATGAGGTACCTTAGAAGCAAGAAGGGCAAACCTTGGTTTCTTAGACTGTCCATACAGGCCAGCTTCACACCAACTGCTGTCTTCAGCACTGTCCTTATCTATACAGAAGGTGAAAGAGAAACTCGACTTAGGAGTGAGAATCACCAGCATGATGGCATCCAGTAGGTCTGTGGGTGTATTAGCCAGCAACCTCCTCTGTTTGACTGGAGTTGGAAAATTAGACGAGAATGAGGGAGAAATTGCTGGCACCTAAATTGAAGGCAAAGTCATCACCAACCAGGTTGTAAAACCTGAGTACACAGCATCTGTGAAACTTTATACTTCCTGGGAAAAGAAGAGAAAATTTGAGAACTATAAAAGTTTATGAATAACACCCACCTAACTCCCAAATAACAATGAAAATTATCTGTTGTCTTTCCAAATGTGTACCACATGCTGCTTGTTCACTGAAGTATATTTGTAATACCAGGTATTACTTGCTTTTAAAAAAATCAAAATCAATTTTCTGTAATTGTAACTCCAAAGTACAGAAATAGGAAAATTCTCAAGACACTTTGTCACAAATGTGAAACTCAATGCACAGTAATATAAACTGAATTATTCACTGAACCTAGACCAGCTTCACTTGCATTTATTGTAATAATCTTTTAATTTATTAGTAAGAAAAGGAGTACATTTCACATTTATTTGCTGACAATAAATACTGAAATAATCACTGATCAGTTAACAAATCTAACACCCATGTATGCACATCAGCACAGCTGACATTGTTGTGTTCTGATTTTTCCCCCCATAAAATTGGTTTTACTGTGTCTATTATCAATGAAAGAAGAAATGGTATTTTTAAAGTGAAGATAAAGGAAAAATATAAGAGGCAGAAAAGCCATTCTCCTCATCAAATTCTGGAAGATTATAATCTTAGACTTTTTTCAGAAAGGCAAGACAAATTTCTATTCTCATCATTTTATTTTATTTATTGTAACTGTCACTGCTGCCCAGATGTCTGGGTCCATCGATAGATTTTCTAATAGGTTGAGGACAGTATTAAGTGCAAACACAATTAAGTGAAATTTGTGAAATAATAGTGAAACAAGAAAGGGCAGTATGGTAAAATGTTAGTATCAGTGCTGTAAGAATGAATTTAGGCAGTAAGAACCTCACTAAGCGTTGAAAAATTTTAAATGTTTGAAAAACTGAACTACAAATGTCATTTATTCAATTACAAACATACTTTCCTGGTGAAGATGACCAAAAAAAACCCTGATAATCTTTACCGAAAAGTAATTGATGAAGTTTTTCTTTCATAGGGGAAGTAAATACAAGTTTAAAAGTTTTAGTCTAACATGGCAAGATAATACATTCCTCGAAGATTAATACAGGTAATAAATCAAAGTCACTTAATTCAGAGAAAACAATGTATACTTGAAAATAATTTAGTATTTCACTTGGAAAAAGTCCACTAATTTATGAGTCACTGAAGCAATAAATATCCTAACAAAATACTTACACATTGCAGTGCAGTGAACCATCCTCAGAGCTCTATGAGGACTGGAGGGGAACAGCTCATATGAGGCCAGCAACTGCTCACTCAGACCCCACTGGCCTCCTTCCATAGCCTGCCTGTGACCTAGCCCACCCAGCTAACTCACACCTCTCAAATACAGAGGCACTTACCTACTTGGCTGTGTGGAGGGATTCAGTGCACCTAAGAGCCAGCCTAGTTTTAAGGAAAATACCCTCAACTCATCTCTCTGTGGGCCTCTAATTTTAGTGGCAGTGGAAAGGTGACAAGATCCCACTAGGGAGGACAGAAGCATGGGGTAACCAGTAGACATTTCACATGTCTCTTAACTTTATTTTGTTCTCTGCTGGGATAATACCCATCTGGGGAGAGCTGTGTTCAAAGTTTTTTTGCTGAGTTCCCCTGACATGTAAGTGTGAGAGATAAGATGGGTTATAATCATGTAGACAACACTATCTGCACTGTAATTCCAAATTCAAATTAGACCAATCAAATGAATTCTTTGTGATTCCTGTGCTCTAGGACAAGACTCCTGGAGGCTCCTGTGAGTTCCCAGGGCTCCAACTCTCCTTGCCCAAGAAAATGTCACAGGCAGTTGCTTCTCTAGTTCATTCTCAAATGGAGCATGTGTTTCCTAGGAATTACTGGTCACGTATACTGTGATTTCCAACTTCTTAACCTCAGCTTTCAATCAGTGCATTTAAAAATAAAATTTTT